AAAAGATCACAGCAGCAGAAAAATTTGCATTTCAGTTGGATGAAAGCACTGCCATTGCTGGTGAAGCACAATTAATTGTCTTTGTGCATGTTCCTGATTCAGACGATATACTGGAACATATATTATTTTGCCACCCACTACCTGGCAGAACGACTGGGGAAGAAATATTCACAATAATCAACATTTTTTTCAGTGAATATGGAATATTATGGACTTGGTGTGTAGGAATTTGTTCTGATGGTGCAGCAGCTATTACAGGAAGAGCTTCGGGGGTGATAGCACTAGCTAAGGCAAGAAACAGTTCCACTGTTTCAAATCATTGCATCTTGCATACACCTGCACTTGCTTCTAAACCAGTAGTTCCCAACCGGGGGTGCTCGTACCCCCTGGGGTATGAGACGATATTCCAGGAGGTGTGAAAACTTGGGTTTTCAAAATTATAGTGTATATGCATAATTCATTGCCGTTTTTCGAACTTTTCTAAGGGGCGCGAGAAGATATCAGAAGCATTCTAGGAGTACGGGGTATAGAAAAGGTTGGGAACCACTGTTCTAAACAGATGAGCCCAGTGTTACATGAGACTTTGGAGGATGCTGCAAAAATAATAAATTTCATCAAAAGCCAGCCATTAAATGGATGTTTATTCCGGCAATTATGCAAGGATTTGGATTCTGAGCACAGCACTCTTCTCTTTCATACAGAAGTACATTGGTTGTCAAGAGTTGAAACATTATCGAGATTATTTGAGCTACGAGATGAAACACACCTGTTCCTGACAAATGTTTCATCACCCCTAGCAGAAAAGTTTGAAAATGTCTTCTGGGTATCCTGCCTTGCCTATTTGGCTGACATATTTAAAAAGCTAAATGAACTTAATCAGTCACTACAGGGCCATGGTCATAATGTGTTGGTTATGGAAGACAAAGTTTGTGCGTTCCACAAAAAAATCTCCCTGTGGATAGGACAAGTAAAAAAAAGGAAATACTGCATCATTTCCCAATGTGTCAGACTTTATTCAATTAAATTCTATTGTTGACACTGAAGGCATTGAAACTGCCATCAAAAATCATTTAGAAAAATTGCACAGAGAGTTTGCGTTGTATTTTCCATTCGTGTCAAGAGGATGAGATACTAGAATTTGCTGGATTGCATCACCCTTCATCATGGACAATGTTGTGAACTCTGACCTTTCCTCTCCAGAACAAGAGGCACTTCTGGAATTGACATCAAACCGCAATTTGAATGAACTTTTTAATAAAAAAAACACTGACCATGTTCTGGAGCCAAGTTGCAAAACTGTACCTGGAAGTTAGGGGAAAAGCTATTGCAGCCTGCCATTTGGTTCCACATACTTGTGCAAGAAGGCATTTTCTTCATCAACAAGCATAAAAACTAAGGAAAGGAATTGTCTTCAGCTGGAATCTGACTTAATTCTGTCAGTAAACACTCTCCAGCCACGAGTGCAAAGATTAATGGCAGAGAAGCAGGCACAAGTTTCCCATTAAAAAAGTGTGGTAAGTGGGTGTACTTTATCATTTTTTTCCTTTTTTTTGTCATTAAGTTTTTGACACCTTGCTAAGCCACTGGTGGTACTCAAATATTGTCATGTCCTAAAGGTGGTACAGTCTGTGAAAAGGTTGAAAAGCCCTGCTTAGAAGTATAGCTATAACATACATGGTGGGAAAAAAAACAAAGAAAAAAGACAACAATATATACTGTTAAGGGAAGAATTTAAAAAACTAGAATTAGAACTACAAATAAATCCACAAAAGAAAATACTGAAAAGACAAATGGAAATAATCAAACATAAATTAAATTTAATAGAATCAGAAAAATTGGCACAGCAAATTAAAAGAACAAAACAAAACTTTTTTGAAAATGCAAATAAACCAGGAAGATGGCTAGTTTACAAACTCAAAAAACAGGAGAAAAAATTGATAAATAACTTAGTAGATGAAAAAGGCTGTTTATAATTTTAAAATGAAGCAATAAAAAAGATAATGGATATTATGAGAAACTGTATGATATAGAAGAAATTTCATGGGAGAAAACAATTCAATATATGGAAAAAAAATTTACCAAAAATTCCAGAAAACTTTAAAACTATGTTAAATGAGAAAATAACAGTGATGGAACTGACAGAGGCTATAAGAAGACAAAAAAACACCAGGACAAGATGGGCTCCCAGCAGAATTGTATAAATGTCTACAAGACACATTAAGCGTACCACTGAAAGATGTTTGTAATGAACTTTTGTTGGAGGCGAAACTCCCAAACACATGGACAGTAGCAAATATTACTTTGATACCAAAAGAAGACTCAGACATGACACAGATAAAAAATTACAGAACGATATCATTACTAAATATGAATTATAAAATCTTTACTTCAATAATAGCAGAGAGACTGAAAAGATTTCTAACTGAATTTATATATCTAGTTCAAAATGGATTTCTACCAAAGAGACAAATAAAAAATAATTTAAGAGTTATAATGGACATATTGGAATATTATGAAATGCATCCAGGGAACAATTGGCATTAGTATTTCTAGATGCTGAAAAGGCATTTGATAATGCTTCCTGGCAATTTATGACTCAACAACTAAAAACAATGGACTTTGGACAAAATTTTATAAATATGATTACAACAATATATCACAAACAAACAGAAAAAGTGATTGTAAATGGAGATTATGCAGAGAATTCCAACATAAGAAAAGGCACAAGACAAGGATGTCCACTATCTCCATTGTTATTTATTTTAACTTTGGAAGTTTTAAATAGAAAGACCCAGAAATTAAAAGACTAGAAATAAAAGGTGAAACTTATAAATTGCAAGCATTTGCAGATGACTTGATATTCATCCTAGAGGAACCTTTAGAAATGATTCCTAAATTATTAGAAAAGATAGAACAGTTTGGAGAGATAGCAGGACTGAAGATAAACAGAGAAAAAACCCAAAATGATAGTTAAAAATCTTACAGATAAACAAAAAAAAAACAAATGTCAGAAAAAATAGAATTACAAATAGTCAAAAAGGTTAAATACTTGGGAATATACCTGACAGCAAGATGTTCAACGATAAAGGAAAATAACTATACAAAATTACTGAATCAAATAAAACGTGACTTGGAAAAATGAAAAAACTTGCAACTGTTGATGTTGGGAAGAATTGCTACGATGAAAATGAATATATTACCAAAAATATTGTTTTTATTTCGAATGATACCTATAAAGCTGGAGAAAAAAATTCTTTGAAGACTTAAATTCTCTAATTTTAAAATTTATTTGGCAAAGAAAGAAAGCTAGAATTAAATTGAAAATGTTACAAGAAGCTAAGGAAAATGGAGGTTTTGGCTTGCCAGAGTGGGTTTTCTATTATCAAGCATCAGTACTAACATGGGTAAAAGAATGGATAACACTTAGAAATAAAAAGTTGTTGTATTTGGAGGGAGATGACTTACAACTCGGTTGGCACACTTTCTTATGGTATGGGAAAAACAAAATTCATAAATATTTTCAAAACCACTATATTAGAAATGCATTATTACTAACATGGGAAAAAATAAAATGTAAAATATACTTGAAAATTCCAGGATGGCTTTCAACAATGGAAGCATTTGTACATCCAAATTTAGTCAGTCTTGAGAAAATATGGACATATAAAAATATTCTAAACTCTGAAGGGAATTTAAAATCTGAACAAGAGATGGAAAATCAAGGTATTGATCTATCATGGTGGGCATATTTACAAATGCAAGTGAGATATGACAAAGATGTTAAACTGTATGGATTTTATAAAGAGCAGACCTTGTTTGATCAGATATTATTAACCTCTGATGAGAAACTACTTAAGAAAATGTATAACTTTTTATTGAATTTGAAAATGGAAAATGAACACGTAAAAGAAACAATGATAACGTGGGCAAAGAATTTTGGATACAATATAGATTTAGAGAAATGGCAAGAAATTATAAATTGACAATGCCAACCTCTTACAAAGAAAACTTATATAAAATGTTTTATAGATGGCACTTGCTAGCAAAAATGTTTAAAAATATGTCAGATAGATATTGGAAATGTAATCATAAGTCAGATACTTATTATCATGTATGGTGGACATGTGTTAAAGCAAAGAGATATTGGACAAAAATACATACTTGGCTAGAAAAGATGTTGGGAAAACATGTAGATTTTAAACCTGAACTTTTTTTATTAGGTATAATGACAGAAAAGCTTGACAAACAAAGTATATACTTGATTTTACATGTGATAACAGCGGCAAGAATCATATTCGCACAATATTGGAAAAATGAAGAAATACCACCAGAGGAAGAAATAATAAAAAAATATTAGATTGTGAGGAAATAATAATAATACTCTGAGGTTGAAAGAAAAAGAAGAAACAGAATATTTTCAAACTTGGGACTTATTTTATCAATGGCTGGAGAAAAGAATAAAGGATTAGGAATTCAATTTGTATTAGTGAATGATAAACTCACTAAAGTTGATAAGTTGAATAAATACTTTTGAATTATATTAAAAAATAAATAAGAACTTAAAAAAACAATAAAAGAGATAGCATTTTTCCTTTACCCAGCTACTTTTTTTTTATTTGGGCATTAATAGAATTTATTTTTTGTTACTTTGGAAGCTCTCTTAATACGTTTCATAAGAATTGAATCTACTCTGGAAGTGATAATCTATTATTGTTCTGTTTACTGCTTTGTTTTGCAATTCTGAAGGCAAATCTGAAGATTATTTGTTTGATATGGACATTATTCTACAAAACCAGTATAAAATGAAAAAATAAATGTGCCATTAGCAGTTCAAAAATAAAGGAAGCAGGGAAACTATGTTCACAGTAATGTGAAATTATAATTTCTTAATTGATTACTATAATCAATATAAGAACACTCAGCACATAAGCAGATAATCTTCTTTTATTATGCTACGAAAGTAAAGAATTTAATAAGCAAATTAATAAGCTTTTAAATACCTTCACAATCTGTATTCCCATGGAATCATCATCAGGATTACTTTGGTCATTGAAAGTGAAACGCATAGTTTTATCCCAGTCAATCGCTATACTCTTTAAATAGTGATCTGCCAAGGTGAGCCAAACCTTAAAAGATATACCACAAACAAACTTAGCTTTGCTTGAAATTGGTTGCATTTTACAACTATTCAAAAATATTCTGCGTATTTAATATGTTGCCATCAATTCTATATAGGACAGAAGCATAAATGTGTTCACTTATCCTAAAATTAAGGAAGAGGCAGAATGTACCATGCCCTGTCAGAATGTGACCAAGAATTCTGAAAATATACAGCATGCAGACTTAGCATCTTCCTCTCTTTAGACTTTGTGTTTTCTGTGAAGGGGCAGGAAGCTAAATTAGATGGTCACATTATAGATGCACCATGTCTCTATGCTGCACCTACCCAGCTTTAGCCTTTTTATGTTCAGACAATAAGCTAAACTGAGCTGGGATTTTTAAAACAATGATTAGAGCAAGTAGGCATGGCTTTTAGTTAACTACCGTTGGTATATATTTATGTACTTTTATTATTGAAAAAAATAGAAGCAAGTGTACATATGAATACACACTTACACACTCCTATGCAAGCAGAGTGAATACAAATGTGTGAATTGCACTCAGTCACACTTGAATTCTACAGTATAGTGAACTGATTTCGTTGAATCATTTTGATATGAAGTGCAAACTTTGTCCAAACTGAATCAATGCCTATGATGAATCAACTTAATTAGACTAACAACTGAAATTGGCAACTGATTTAGGAAATCAGTTTGATCATGCAAAATAACTGCTTTTTTGTTAAATCTCTGAGCCAAACATTCACACAGCCTTAAAAATTATAGCTCACCTACATGTAACATATGATAGCAGGCTCATTCCAAAAATTCTTAATATACAAGTCTTTTTCCAAAATAGAGTTCCGTATAGCTTATTCAGTAACGTTAAAAATAGTATAATTTGAAAGTCTGAAATTCAGCTGTCAGTTTATACCATTCAAGCCTTCATCTTTTCTTAACTGCAAATTATTAATAACTACTGTCATCTAAATCCATTTTTCATAGGTAGACTAAATTCAGGGGGAAATAGAACTATAACATGGAATATAGAAAAATAAAATCTACCATCTATACACAAAAAAGATATTTAGCAGTCCTACTGTTCTAGGCAGTTTTAGAAACTTATACAATATTGTGAAGAAATATTTATGCATTTCAGGAATTCTTTTGGAAGCTGGATAATCTAACTAACCACCTGACTATGATCTGTGACTTCCCTCACAGGAATAACATTTCTACCAGCAAGACGTAAGTATATGGATGGAAATTATTTGTTTAAATAATTCCAAGCATATAACTAGGAAGCTTTAATATATGTCCCACACAGAAATATACTTAAAAATAACTTTTAAGTAATATTATTTTCTAAATCTACTTCTTTATTCAGCTTATTTTACACAATAAAGTTTACAATGATATCAAATATTCATAATTAAAAACTATATGCTAAATTAAAGTAAGTTACCTAGTTCATAGCTAGCAAATACTTATATATAGGGAAATGTATA